TATACTTATATATATGTAAATTTAAATATATATATATATATATATAAATTACTACTGCAAATTATAGAGCTTTTTTGCAATGTTAGCCTGCCCTTAACTTTAGCATTTAGCTTAACACTCCCATTTGAGCCTGGTTTTGCAGCATTTTCTTTCCCTTGAATTTCGCTTATCAAGAGACGCCATTCAAGAAAATGGGAACTAGCTTTAAAAACAGAATGTGATGTAACTTATTAAGGCAAGACCAAAAAATACATTGTGTCATTGAGCTGTTTTTTTTTTTAGTTGTCGTTTTTTTTAGTTGGCTGATAATATGGCTTTGTGTGTGTGTGTGTGTGTGTGTGTGCGTTCTCCTGTACTGCACGACTTGTGCCCACTTTTCCTCATACTCTCATTCCGGGACAAGATGCAAACCTGTTGTGAAGACGCTGGTTGTGTACAATATGCAAAAGACAACAGGAGGGTAATATAGGTATAGATATAATATTCAATTTTATATTAAAACATCTTAATAATTACATTAGTAATAATTATCTGCATGAATCATCAACAAACATATAGAGTGTTCATGCTTACGCTCTGCCTATGACCTACTAAACGACTGAAATAGGCCAATGACANCAGCAGGAACAAATGCATCATCATGATAACAGGAACTATTGGGATTTGTCCACTGAATAACAGTATGACAATGATGACCTGAAGCTACTAAACTATTCAAAGAAGTGTTTTGATAAAACCACGCAAAAAAAGTGAAACTCCTTGTTAGTCTAACATTAGCTTATTAAAAGGGGAACTGAAAAAAAAAAAACTGTTGCTGGAAGCCATTAACCTTTGATTTTCCAGCTTCTTTCTCAGCTATTATTTAGGTCAAATAACAAACCAGCTAAAAATTAGTACTTTTCACAATTACATCTAAAATTAAAAAAACATCAAAACAGGAAGGAAGTCTGATAACATATAAAACAGAGTATAAACATTAACGCTGTGAGCCCAGAAGAATGTTAACATTTTTCTTAAAATGCATAGAAAATCATCAACGATGCGCATGAAAGATATGACGCAGAAAAAACTTGCATATTTTTATTGTCATGCCATTAATCTTAACTCGTAACTTGTCCAGTATTATTAGAATCAAAGACAAACATAATTAACCCTTGATCGCTGAGAGATAACCGCTGTTAGACAGAACCTATTGATTATGGATTTTCCAGGACAACGCTATGGCAACCACGCTTTCAACTCAAAGACCTCAGTGTTGAATTGACTGTGTTGAGGTTTTATTGATTATTAACAGACTCACCTTGTGTCTTGTTAGTTTACAGCAAGACTCAAACATCCGTCTTATTTCCCATCCAATCTGCAACATAACTGATGATCACACGACTTCACGAGACAATGAAATCAATGTAACCACCCATTAATTCAGACTTTGTCGACGTGTTTTTTTTTTTACGACTCTGCCACAGCACTCTCTCTCCCACTGGACTGCAGATTTTATCTGTGGGCTTCAAGTTATATGAAGCAAATCAGATAAACTTCACTGGCCCTCAATGACAAAGTCAACGTTTTAAAGTCATGCTAATGTTGTGTCACTTTTTACAGACCAGGTTTCCCCCATCATCAGAGTTGCAACTTTTTTTAATTAGCATTTTTCTGCTGCCCCAACCTTGGCTTGTGTCTGTACATCCTTTGTAGCAGAAATATACTGTGTCACATTTGTCATCCTGAACTAATGAACTAATTTGGATAACATTGGTTCACTTCTAGAGCGCTATAGAGGTATAAATGTCTCTTCCAGAATGTTGCAAAATGTATTTAAGTGCTGGCCAAAAGGAGACGTAGAGTCATAATTGCCAGTGCAGGACAACTTGTTTGCTTGCTTGCTAACAGCAAACCAATCACCATCCTCCTGTTGGGTTACATTCTGAAGCAAAAGGATGAGTTATGTGAGCAGCACAAAACCCCAACTTATGTAGAAATGTTAGTTCTTATAGACAATCTGCTGGATTTGTGTATCCAGGAAAGCTTGCTTGCTAACTCATCAAAAAAGAATCTGTAAATGTATGTGTCCCTGCTTAATTGGTAAGGTTAACTTGAACATTGTATCATAATTCATAATATGAGCTCTTTATTTATGATCAAATGAAACTTGCAATTGTAAGTTGTGATCAGGAAATTTTTGTTTTGTTTTTTTCATATCCATTGATACAATCATATGTTTTTGACCTATATTGTCATATGTTCAGTCAATATGCTTTTTATTTTTTTTACTGAAAACCATAGAGACTCATTATTGTTGAATCACTGACAACATGAAAACTCACTATGTTCAAAGCATCTGCTGCTAATAATGTTGCGTGTGATGGTGATAAGTATCCAGGCTCTGGAGTGCTGAATACAAATCAGATGAAAATAAAGGAAGTTATGTAAGACCAGACCTGTGGATTAAATGTTTGAAAAAACACTTAAGCTCTAGCTCTAGCTCTAGCTCTGTGAAACAATGTCTATGTAGGAGTGGGAGGATGGATGTAATTTAATGATTTAATGGCCTACATTAACGTCCTGGAGGGAAACACTCACATCTTTAATTTGGTAGCTTTCTTCTGCCCTCACTAGAGCAGACTTCTTAATTGACATCATAATTTGATTAATTGCTTTCTTGTCATTAGGCCCAATGAGTTTTGCTCTGTAAGGAAGTATAAATCGTCCGTGTATTTACAAGCAACCAGACGATCGAGATCCAAAGACACATGGAAGAGATGCCCAGCTGTGCAGAGTAATTGGTTCTCCATTATTAGCTGTGGATTTGTGACATTGAGGAGAGAACGTTTGGATCAGGAGACTGAGTTCATTTGGCATCTAGACTAATTTCATCCAGTGTTGCTCAACGGTAAAATTCAAATTTACCATTTCAAGTTTGTCACAAAATGATTTCAAGTAACCCAGTGGTATTTAGAGCTTGCGGTTCCAAAACCTGACTAAACTACCGAGTGAGAACAAAGACAAAACACAGACTTTGACAGGTTTCAGATGTATATACTATTAAAAAAAAAGACTACAGACAACAAAAAGGCCTTATCGGGGCTGCTGCAGTTAAGAACTAACACTGATGAAGCTCCGTTGTCTACACCAGCATCCAGGTGCTATTGCACTTAATGGCCACATAATTGGGCAGAGACACCATTGTCTTGATTGGTGCGCAATCTTGAATCCAGCTGGCAAACAACATGCAAATGAGTGCTCACCAATTTAGGACTGAACTTACAGCAGACAAGTAAACAGTAACGGTTTCTCTACGATTGATAAAGTGTCTGTGAGAGTTGAGTTAATCACTGAACGCCGTGATAGTCATTAGTTAGTTCACTGTACTTACAGTCAAAAACACTGACGCATTGTTTGTAAGGCGTAATAAATAAACAGTGTTTCAATTGAAAGATTTCGAACAATACATGACCTGAGGACGTTCTTGTTAGCATCCTCTGTCCCTAACTCACTCTCTGTGGAATCCAACCTGTCATCCATTTTGAGTTATGCTGCTCACAGACAAGAGCAGTCTGAGTGTCTAGACAAAGACTTAAACTTCAAATGTCATACTTTTAGATCTGTTAAGTTGCAAAGAAGAACTTCAATGTCAGGAGAATATGTTTTCTGGAAAACTATCTTTGAACATTTCAGACAATTTTTAATCAAATCTACATAATAGCTACTGTTTTAATCATGTTTTGTTATTGTTTCCTGGTGACTTGTTTTTAACTATTTCTTCTACTATCATGACTTATATTCAGTAAATGTAAAACAAAAAATATATATTAATATACTATATTAATCCCATATTTGGGAAATTCTTGTGTTAGCAGCAGGTATGCTGAAATATAAGCATATTAGTAGTTGCATTACTTAATGAATTTGCTCATTTTTAACCATTTTGGCTAACGTTAAGTTAGCCACTCATAATTGGTATTTAATTATGTTGTTGCTCAGTTTTTACGTTGTTATATGAGATGAGAGAATGAACTCACACCCATGGTTTAGGCATCATGGTGACACACCAATGTGAAATAAATGTTCTGTAACCACATGACATTTTGATCAAATATTGTCCTATTGGTGTGATGACACAACTTACACTAATATCATCTCATTCACGGCCAGAATGTCCATGACATTTGGATGATTTGTAATAAAAAGAACAGGATCATAGAAGGGTTATTGGGACTTCAGAGAAACCCCGCCTTTTCAAAGTTCATCAGTATTCCGGGGCCTCTGCGAGATATCTGGGTTCGGAATTAATGAGGGGATCCACCAGATAAATGATCAGAAAACTAGGACGGCCGGTGTCCTTGAACTCTTAATGGCCTATTAATGGTGTCCGTTTAAAAAAAAGGGGGATCTTAATGGCTGTGTCCAGGCTAAGTCCATTTTGTTTTTGAACAGACTTTTTGGTTTTTGTTAGTAATAATAACAGAGATGCACACAAGCTTAGGAATTTCTGTAGAAAATAAATCCTCCCAGCTGTTTAACCCAGAACTCGGCACCAAAGTGTCAATGTGAGCCTTAAAATATATCTTATTAAACATAAATAATATACTATGTTTTTATAATAGGATGTTGTTTGTTGTGCGCAGGCAATGGATTTTCTGGCAGCGTTCTCTTTTAGTTATGAGTCCCTTGTTTCAGCTTCATTTTGTATAATTCATAATTTTATGCTTCTGTAATTGTGTATTTGAATTGGGAAACATATATATTGATTCTCTCTGCTGCTAAAAAAATCACTGCTTTAATTTTCATTTCATTTCTGTTTCTTCTCTCTGCATTCTAGATAAAGACAAAGACAAAAGCCGGAGCAACAGAAACAGTACCAGAGAAGATAAAGTCCAGGCCATGGCTGAGGGGATGATCAGTTCTCAGAGTGGTGAGTAGCACATATTTACTGGTTGGTGTTTTTTGAGTTGTCCTTTCCATAAAGTCCCACTTTTTGTGTCTTGTGTTTGGTTGAGATGATATTATAGGAAGTGACTTCACACCACAAGAACATGTTGCATTTTATTGTCTTTAATATTCACATTATGGCAGACTGTAGTAGGTTTGATTTAAAACAAAAACATCTGCAAACCTTGGGTTTATTTGATGTAATTAAATTGTCTACTTGTTTCATAGGCTAAAGAAAAAAGCCCACATTTCTGGCCAAACGATTGTACCAGTGGCAGTTAACTGTTAGATTTACCCTATAGTCATTCTTAACATTGAAGGAATCATGTCTTTTTTTCAGTGTTAATCTCTTTTTTCTATTGAATGATTTTGGCATTGTTCACATATTCATGATCTTAAATTACAGAATAATTTATTAAATCACAAGACATATATACATGATATATGCCATGGTACAAATATGTCAATATACTGTATTTTCCGGACTATAAGCCGCTACTTTTTTCCCACGCTTTGAACCATGTGGCTTGTACAAAGATGCAGCATTTCTATGAATCTTTCTTCAGCTGCCAGGGGGCGTTATAGCAGGAAGTGCAAAAATGAGACAGACAGAGGGAGTCAGTGCAAAGAAGAACACGCTAGTTTTTATTTCGCACATGCAACACATACACAGAAATTCGTATGATGCGGCGGCTTATACTCTGGTGCAGCTTACATATGTATTTTTATTTATTTAATTTTTTTAAACTTAGTGGATGTGGCTTATATTCAGGTGCGCTCTATAGTCCAGATTTTGTTTTATTTTAGCTGATAAAAATCTAATATATTTTGCCCCTAATGTTTCAGAATTTGTTGTCAAATCTGCAAAGGTCCCATATATAAATCCTGGATAAGATTTATATATGGGATTTCAGGGATGAAAACGTGTTGTTTAGATTATCTCATAGTAGTTTCTGTATAGTTACCCTCACATGTAATTTCCTGTGTGCGTGTGAGTTGTATTCACTCAGTTTCCCACGTATGCGTGACTGTGTGTGTGTATTCATTGGGTCATGGAGGAAGTGCATCTGCAGCTGCACCTCTGTTCAGGGAGGGCTGAGTAAGAGAGCGGCAGAAAGGCAGCGGAGAGGGTGATGAGATGTTGTGTGAAGGAGATGGGAGGCTGCAGACAGATAGTGTCTTTGCCTCGGTATCGCCATTAAATCTTAATCTCACCCGGCTCCTCATGGGAGGCACCAGCCGAGCATGGGATTGGGTTTTGCATCTAAATCAAGATGTCATGTTTCTTCAGAGAGGGCTTTTTACTGAGATAAAGTTCGATGTGTCTATTCCGCACTTCACACACACACCTGGATGCACACTGATCACCCAGCTGCTGCTGTTTGTACCAAAGTCATGTTAAATTCAATTACCACATAAACAGAGTTGCAATATCTCTGAGCAGATAAAAGAGGGGAGGGGGTGTGAACTCCAGAGGAAATGGAGAAAAGTTATTAACCAGTGTGAGGGGAAGTTTCAGCAGGTTGCATCATAGAGAAAAAGAAACATTTTGAAAACTCAAAAGCAGGAAGCAGGCTTTTTTCTACACCGTACCCTGCATAAATCACGCTAATAATAATAATAATAATAATAATAATAATAATAATAATGCTTAATAAGGAAATGTTAAAAGGAAAAGAAAGAAAATGTTGAGAAATAATGTCAACATTATTTCTCAACATTTTCTTTCTTTTCCTTTTACTATTAAAATTGTAGTTCATTAAACAAGAAAAAAGAAAACCTATAACAGTGTAGCGTCACATGGTACATAAGTCAAATACTAACAAAAGTATAATGTACTCTAGGCAGTACACTTGCTGCATAAGGCATTAGAATAAATGAAGCTACAAGATATGAAAATCCAGCAGTGTGGATCATTATAGTGAGCTCTGAGTGTTAATATACATTTTTATGGGGAGATGAGGAGGGG